CCTCTCTCCTCTGTCTCTCCTCAGGCAAACTCAGACATGTCTGTGTTCCCCCGTTTCTCAGCTGAGGAAGAAGCAGTGAGTGATGAGGAGCACAGGAGCAGCAGGAGGGAGGTGGCACTGACAGCCTGTGTGTTCTTTGCAGGGATGTGAGGCAGAGGATTCAGCAGAGGATTGCTCAGGTGTTTGGGATCAGCTCTTCTGCCTTGTACCTGACCAAGCCAACCTTCTTCTCCAGGATGAACAGCACAGGGGCCAAGACAACACATGATGAGTACTGGCACCCACACGTGGACAAGGTGAGGAGGGGCTGACATGGGATGCAAATATCTGTTATTATTATTAAATCACCTTAAAATCATTTTGCATTTAAACAATCTATCAGACAGGTTTGAAAACTGGTGCTTCAGGAGATGAACAAGTGAGTTTTAGAAACATGAGCCGTTACATCCCATTCATTTTTATTTTCTCTAATTTAGTTTTGTTAGAATTAGTAAACTGTGAGGATGACTAGTCAGGAATCTCTTTTGTCAGAAACACTGATTAAAATGACCTGAATTGCTCTTTCAGCCAGACCTAGAAGGAGCTGTGTCACAGTGGTCAGTTGGTCACTGTTGTTATTGATCTAAGGCTTAATATTTGTATTTCTGCTATATGTGAATTGAAGCTTTTTGTGTTTCAGTGGGGATGTGGGACCTGGTACCCTCTTTCAATAACTTGGTGTTTTGATCCTTTTAACTGCACAGTCTTATTTCTAGGTTTATTGCTTAATACTTGGCATTTCTCAATGGACTTCAATGATTTGGTATTGAGTTTGTTTCTGAGTTTCACTGAGTTCAAGCATTCTGTGCAGGACAGTAGAATACCAACAATGGAAGAATCAAAGAAAAAAACCTCACAACCCAAAAGAAATCAACCCAAACAAACAAAAAACCACCTCCACAATACCCACGTTTCATGCCTTCAGGATTTATAAATGAGTCGCTCTGGACTCAGGGATTACCCAGAATGGAACCAAATAAAATAATCCCAGCAAAATCCAAGTTATTCCTTAGGGCTCAAGTCTGTAAGTGGGCAGTGTACCTTGAAGTCTGTGACCTGAGACATGAAAAAATCAAACAGAAATATTCCTTGCCTGAAAGTATTTCCTGGTAAAAGCCAGTCTGAGGGAAGTGTCTTCTGTTGGTCACGGCATTGGTGTGAGTTCATGTGAGCAGAAGCAGATTAAATTTAGAAAATGTGGTGGTAGTGATGACACAGGTATGTTTGGAAGCAGAAAGTCCTGCAGGGTGGAATCTGCCAGGTTTTGGGTGCCTCTGGTTTGAAAAGCTGTGATGTAACCAGTGAATAGGAATGGCTCTGGACCAGAGGTGGTAGGGATGGTTTTGAAACCCAGATTGTTTTGGTAGGAAATGGCTGCAGGGAGCAAACTGTGCTGGTGGGGTTCACAGGAATTCCATCATGTTATGCTCAATTCCTGTGGGTTCTCTGCTTCCTTTTTCTGCCTCTCTTGGGGTCAGGATTGAAGGCACTTGAGATGATAGTTTACATTCAGACCCAGGTGTTTGTTATTTCTTATCCATGTTGCAGCCCCACAGCAGTGAGTTCTGCAGTCCTTCATTAGCAAGGCACAAAATGGCCAACTGTTTCTTGGTACAAGGTCTTTTAAGGCTCAACTATCCAATTAAGAAATGACACCTAACTTATTTTCCCTTTTAACCCAATAACTGATCACTCGAAGCCTGCAATGAGGACTTTTATGTCCAATTAAAAAACCTCACCCAAACCCATGAAGAAGGAGGAAGAAGGTAAAGAACAACCTGTCTCCACCCTAAAACCTGCATCTTGCTTCATATTTATTTCTATTTTTTTATTTCTTATATTTTTTCTATATTCTAAAATCCCAAACATTTTTTCCACCCTGTGATATTACACACTCCTAACCAACTCCACACCCCCAATCCCAGTGCTATCAATCAATTTTGAAAGCTTCTCCACAGCCTCAGGTCAATTGCAGTGTTCTCTTGTGAGTCTGTGCCTTTCAGCACAGAAAGTTTCAAATTCTCAGCATCCAGGGCTCCAACAAATTCCAGGAGATCCTTGGGAAGAAGGAAACTCGTGATTCTGCTTGTGTGAAGTGCAGTGAATTCATTGGTTCTTACGGTTTTTTCACAGTTTCAGAGAATCAGATTTGGCTGCCACAAGGGTGGGAAAAGCAGTATATTTCAACAGCTTATACCTATTTTCTCCACTCTTTTATTTCAGCCCCAAAAAAAGCCAATTTTAGAATTCCAGACTCTGATTTATTCTATAATAAGATTTGTGTTTGCCCAAGCCCTGCTTGCCAGAATTCTCTTTATTCTTCTCTGCATGTGTTTTGCATTGGGAAATTAATAAGGTGGTTGGATAAGCTCTCAATTAAGTGTTTCCACCTAAATATCTCCTGTAATGTTCAAGTTATTTTATCATTTACATGCAAATAAGTTTACATGAAGAGAATTTGTGGAAGCTGCTTTTCTGTCCTGTCATCCTGAGAATGCCTGGACATGATGGACAGCAGGCTGAATGTTTTCCTGGTTTTATCCTTCTCTTTTGTCCATGTTTTATTTATCTTGCAGGCTGTCTGTTCAGGGAGCAGATACATCAATTGATTTGTCTTGGCTTTTTCTAACCCATCTCCATCTTCAGAAAAAAACCAAAACAAGAAGGAAAAATGCTCTCCTAGACTTGGAATGCATAATCTAGACCTTAGTGGTGTTCTGTACTGAATAATGGGGCTGTCTGATTTCTGACAGTGGTTGGAGTCAGTGATCTTGGAGATCTTTTACACAATCTCAATAATTCTGAGTCTGTGAAGAGAATTATCCCAGTTGGGGCAGTTTCCAAACACCTTGTTCATAATCATAAATAGTCTGAGAGAGATTAATTAGGATGAAGTTGTGCAGCTTCCCAGGTTGCCTCCAGTGCAGTCAGTCTGGCTTGTACTTCACTTCCTCCAGCAAACTTTTCCACTTCCAGACTGCAGTTGAAAGCAAGGAAAAAAACCAAATTTCTATTGATCTGAGGTAAAAAGTTCTTCCCAGCAAAGAGTAGTTGAGTTCTTATGTGGCCTCCACAGCAAGTGTGAATGCTGGGAAGTTGAAGAAAGATCAATAAAACTTGCCAGTTTGTTGGATGCTTTTGCCTTGGATCATTATTTATGCTTTCCCCTTGGAACAGAACAAATCACTTCAGGAATTTGTGCATGATTTAACAGTGAAGGTTATTCCTAGAAGACATCACAGTTTTTTCCTTGCCTCCTTCCAGAAGAAAGGTAAAATGGAGCCTTAGCAAAAAGATTTCACTGTATTTTCTGTTTCAGAGTGACATTGTTGTTAAAAAGATGTGGCTTCTTAGAACATATGAAAACCCCCCTTGCCTTTTCCCTGATGTTGCTGAGTCTATTGCAATTAGATTTCTCAATCTGAATCTCCCTGAAGACTTTCAACAGCATAATGGAGTAGTACAGATTTATTTTGTTTATCTGAGGCTTTGTTTTTTTCCCTCCTAAAATTTCCTTGGTTTGTGGTTACATAGGAATGGAAACCCTGAAATCACCCAAATGTAATGTCTCATTTAATCTTGTTGAATTTATAAGCCTCTAAGTCAAATGAAGAGAGTGTTGTGTTAAGGTGTGGAGTTTCATCTTGGATGGAATTTGTTTGGAGCTGAGGCTTCCAAATGTCCAACACCTGATTTCTAATGGGGTTGCTGTTGCACACTTCACACTGTCAGCACTGCAGCCTTCCACCATTCTCTGGTGGAATGTGGAGATTTGTGCACTCCCCTGCCTGGACACAGATCCTCCCATCCTTCAGAGAGCTGTCAGGCTCTGCCATAAGATGGTTTTGGGTTTGTTTTCCTTGAATTCTTCTATCAGAGCTAGTCCAGCACTTCAGTGCACATTTCCCAAATTTTATTGTGGGTTTTTTTTAGCCTAAACATGTCCATGATCACTTTATAGCTATTCTTGCTCTTTCTCCCAGTTCTACATCCTCCCACCCCCGTGTATTTCTGGGTAGGAATCATATCCCTTTCCAGCCTTTATTTCTCTGAGGTGGACAAGCCAAACCTAATTATTCTAATTATTTCTCCTTTCCTGCATTGTGCTCTCCATGTCCCCAACCCTCCCCTGTACCTGCAGCCCTCTCTGGCACTGAGAGCAGCTGCTGTCTCTTCTAGCAGGCTTTTCACCTTTCTTTTCTTCCCCTACATTTAATCAAACACATCAAAAGATCCCATTTCTACCCTGAGACAGCATCATTTCTGAGAATTGAGGAGGTTGATTCTCATTTCTGCTCAAAGCCATCACCTCAGCTCACCTAGAGCCCCTTGCAATTCAGAGATGTGCTCTTTGCTCTTTTATTGTCTAACAGACACTGCCAATAACAGCACACTGGAAGGGCTATCAAGGTTATTCTGGGGCTTATCTACACAGAATTAGGTGAAAGCTTACAGGAAAAGAGAAGTTTTCACTCTTTTTCTGCAATGCTGATTGCAAAAAGTGAATTTTCTTCTGTGCTGGAAAGCAGAGGATGCTGTCCTGAATATCCCCAGTAGTTGCAGACCTCTTGCATGATCCTGCAACTGTTGAGTTGCATGGAAATGTGTCTCTCAGAAAAAACCCACTTCAAAATGGGGCTGGCTAATCCTGGCAATTAGTTCTACTTATGAAATAGCCTTTAAAGAAGGCTATTATTTATTATTTATTTATTTAAATATGCTCATTATGAGCATTTACCATTAAATATTATCTGTGTTTGACTTTTTGGATAAGGACAATTAGGTGAAGGCTTAGAGGAAAAGAGAAGTTTTGACTCTTTTTCTGCATGCTGGACCAATGCTGATTGCAAAAAGTGAATTTTCTTCTGCGCTGGAAAGCAGAGGATGCTGTCCTAAATCTCCTCAGTAGCTGCAGACCTCTTGCATGATCCTACAACTGTTGAGTTGCATAGAAATGTGTCCCTCAAAAAAAACCCACTTCAAAATGGGGCTGGCTAATCCTGGCAATTAGTTCTATTTATAATAATTAATAGTTTTTAAAGAAGTGTCATGTAAACATCATTATGAGCATCTACCATTAAATATTATCTGTGTTTGAGTCTTTGGATAAAGAGTATTCAAAAAGAGCACACTAACCATTTGACATAGCAGGCTGAATGGAATTATCTGCATTTTTTTCTCTTGAGTTGTTTACAAGGAGCTGTAGAAATTTGATTTGGAGCTGTGTGGCTTTTAGTGACAGCTTCTCTCATATAGTTGGATCTTTTGGTTCAATTATTAATCTGTCTGGTACTGGAAATCATTGCCAGGGTAACAAATATATTTGATATACATGGAGAGACTTGTAGCATTATAAATAACTGAGTTTAATTTAATGCCTGCTTTCCATAGTGTTGCATTTCTCAGGCTTGGTTGCTTTCTGAGAGTGAGTAATGAATAAGGACAGGAAGAGCAAAGCCATTTTCTCTTGCACACTTCATTCCCCAAATTAGTCATCTCTAGCAATCAGGTGTGTTTGGTTAGGCTAAAATGGTTGGTTCTTAGAAGTTGTAAGAAGTTTAGAATTGGTAAAACCACCTTGGAGAGTGCACTGGGGGAGCAAAGATTGCTGCTCCTCTGAAGAGTTGCTAAAAACAGTTCTAATGCATTAAATTTGGAGCTATGAGTTGAATGAACTTCTGCACTGGCTGGAGCCCTCCTTAAATCGATTGGAAGTTTTTATCACCAGCTCAGTGAAGTGGAAAATGGCTCTGCAAAGCTGATCTGCATGGGAAGGGCTCTAGAGTGGCTGCTCTGAGGTGCTGCACCAGCACTAGCTCATTCATTCCCATTTATTGCCTTGTATTGCCACCAGGGTCTGGAAAAATATGGAGAGAAAGGGATCACTGTAATATTTCTCTCATTTTTGTGGCTTGGCTTTTTTCCTCTGAGCCCTTATGGTCAAAATAATAACATGGGTATGAATGGAAATGTCTTCCTCTTCCATCTGCTGTTATGTTCTCTCTGGTCCTGCCCTTACAGAAAAAAATGTGTACAACTGCTCCTGAGCCAAAATTTAACTGGCACTAATGAGTATAACTTGAAACATGACTGAAAATATTTAGAAAACTTCTAAGTTTGGAAGTAGCACCTACCTCTGACAGTCACCAGGTCAGTCAAAACACTCTGCAAATTCTGTGTATTTATACAGTGCTACTGTGCTGCACATTTCACTGCTTGACAGTGTAATGCTGAACTTTTGAGTTGAGATACACAAAGAAATTGGAGAACACAGCCATTGATTTCAAGTATTCTTTTAATTGCTGGTGACATGTAGATATGAAAGGAAATATTTCCAGAATCAGCTAAAGTCAATGTTAAATATTTAGATAGCTTCACTCTCAGTATTAGTATGTAGTATTTATTTTCTCAGTGTACATATTAACCAAAAATTATGCTTTAAAAGGAAGGAAAAAATCACCTTGCTGTACTTAAAAGTGGGATGTTTGGTCTGTAGGCTGAGAAGAAGCACAGACTTCCAAAGCTCAGTTTGAAGGGTTTTTGTCACCATCACATTTTCTGGAAAAATCCCTTTGCCCAGGATTTCTCTCCTGGGAAGCTGAGAAGCCTCAGAGAAAAAGGAAAATAATTCTTATCTCGTTTGTTTCTCCTGTGTTTTGCTGCTTTGGAATGTGGTTTGGACATTGTTTACCCACAGGTGATTGTTTCACTGGTTTCATGTGAATTGTTTTTATTTATTGGCCAGTCAGGGCCAAACTGTGTCAGACTCTCTGGAGAGAGTCACAAGTTTTCATTATTATCTTTTAGTCTTGTGTCTGTATCCTTTCTGTATTCTTTAGCATAGTTTAGTATAGTATTCTTTTATTTAATATAGATGATAAAATAATAAATTACCCTTCTGATATCAATGGAGTCAGATGTATCATTCCTCCCTCCAACAGGGGTCTCAGAAAATACAACAGGTTTTAAACAAAACCTGTATGAAAAAGAGTAAAAGCTCCCCCAACAAATTATATTTACTTGGAAGTTGTGATTTACCATGAATCTCCTGTGTGGTAGTGGTGAAAAAATAGCAGTGAGGTATCCAGAAACTTTATACCCAAGATTAATCATGGGTGGAAATCATTAATCAAGGGTTGTTCTTCTGCATATTAACCTCCTGGTGAAATTTTATCTTGGAATAGCAGAAATCCTGTCTTTTTGATACTGTGCACTTCTGACACTGTTGTTTTTTGCTCTTGAATGATGGAAATCAACCAATCACTTCTCTAATGATTGAAACTGTAACAATAGAATTAATAAACATGACATGCTAGTCTTGCAGTGTTACAGGAGAACAGACTAATAAACACAGATAATTCCTAGAAAAAGGTATTCTTGGTTTTCAAAGACCCCTTTATTAAATACATGAAAAAACTGAGAATCAGCAAAACCCACCAGCTCCATCTGCTCAGTTTGCTGTGCTCTGCAGAGATAAGATTAAGAATTTGGTAAATTTTGGTGATTTTGGCTTTCCCCACAGGTGACTTATGGCTCTTTTGACTACACTTCTCTGCTCTATCTCTCTGACTACTCCAAAGACTTCGGGGGTGGACGTTTCGTGTTCATGGATGCAGATTCCAACAAGACAGTGGAGCCCCGAGCAGGTACGAGCCAGGCTGGCTGCAGCTTCTGCCATTTATTGACTTTTCTGGGCTGGCAGCTGGTGTGGGACTGGGTTTGGGGCAGCAGGAATAACGTGGGGTAGTGGAGCATGCTGTGTTCAGGTTGATGACATCAAAAATAAAGATTAGAACAGGTTAAAATACAGCCACAATTTGTAATGTGTGGTGTTAAACCACAAGAAGTGACTTCCTGGGAAGATGTAGGGCTTAGAAGAGGTGGCCAGTTCTGACAGGTTAGCAGGTGGGAAATAGTAATAATAGTAATAATTTTAGATTCTTAGCTTTAAGACATTTACAGCATAGTGTAGCTAAAGCTGATAGGCCAAGAAACGCTTCTAGTATATTAGGAAATAGTTTGCTTCTGATTGTGATACATGAATTATAACACCTTGTCTCACCCTTCTCATGAGACTGAAAATAGAATAAAAGGTTGAAAACACCTCTCAGTTGCCCCATCTCTGAGTCAAAATGAGCTCAGTCTGACAACTGTGCAGCCAGAGCAGAGCTAACTGTCACTGCAGCAAATCCAAATTAAAGCAATTTATTTTACACTGGCCTGAAATTCCATTGCTGCTCAAGGTGGGGCTTAAAATACCCTGTAATGGCTGAGGGTGGGTGTGAAGGTGATGGATTGTCACAGCTCTGCTGGAGCATGGTGAACCAGGATTACTTGCCTATAAATCCATCCCTGCTTCCAGGAGGTCTGACAGGGATGAGCCTTCTGATGGCTGTCAGTTATAAATAAATAAAAAACCTTTCAGGCTGGTTTGAGCTTTTTTTAATATGTGGATAATTTGAAACTGGAATTACTCTGGGGCTGCCTAGAGAGGAGCTCAGCCTCAGCTCATCTGTCTGGCAGGTGAGTGCTGAGCTTCCAGCAGTGTTACCTTTCATAATGCAAGATCAGCCACACTGCTGCAGGGAAGAGAAAAAATGGGCAACTTTATATTCCTGCTGTGTTCTGTCTTTTTTTTTCCAAGACAGAAAAGATGGAAATTTACTCATTTAAAGAGCCTCAGTAATTGTCTGCTGACAGTTGTTACCCCAAGCAGAACTGACTTCAGATTATTGCTGCCTGCAGATTGGGATGGGTGTTCTTTGAATTCTGGATCACACTGATGCTGCTTTAGATTAACTCTGGAATTACCTGGGCTTGCCAGCAAGAACTGTGTGTTTGATTATTTTGTCTTTTATGATTGGAAGTCAACCCTAAACTGAAAGCTTCATCTTTTGCAAAATGCTGCTGCCAGTATTTTGAAAGGGAACACATTAAACTATTTTTCAGATGCAATTCTAAGATTACCAGATCTGTGTAGCTGTAGAAATCACAACTGAATTCTAGGTGTGTGAGGAGAGCTGTCTCAGCCTGGCTGCAGTGCCCAACATGCCCCTGACTTAATTTCCTAAAGTCTGTAACTGTGAAATTGCTTCCATTCAGCCCCATCTATTCATTTTCAGGTTTTCTGCTGCAAGGTCTTTGCTCTTGATGTTGTTTTGGGGGAAGAAGGGGAAGCTGATGAAATCCAGAATTTTCTTTTTGGCTGTCCCTTTGCCAGGGGGATGTATGGGCAGTGAAACAAAGCAATGCACAAATATCCCTCATGGACACAGGAGAAAATGAATTACACTTTTCTAACACATCTCTGTTCTCACAGTTGTCAGGGCTCCTCTGATTGTGTCACAGCCTCTGGTGCACAATCCCCACTGACATCCTGGGAGCAAAGCAGAAAAGCTTGAGAGCTGAAGCACAATGTGAAGGCATTTGCACTTATTTTTCCTCTTGCTGATAAAATGTGTTTTCTGAAGGAATGACCCCAGGCTGTTTTCTATTGCTGGAACAAGTTGATGTATTTTTCATGTTCATAATGTTCCTCTGCAATGTTTTTTCTCTCCTTCTGTCTTTTTGGCTTTTCTTTGTTTGTTTTGTTTTACGCTTCTTTTGATCCTTTGTGCTTCTCTTGCCACTCCAGCTCCACTTTTAAAACCACATGTTGATGAGCTTTCATGCTTCTCTTTTAGGAGCTCCAGGCTTTTCTAGGGATGACTGTCATAATCACTGGTTCAGTTTTCATGCTTGACAACTAATTTACTTTTCTCTATTGCTAATGCCACTGCACTCCTAAAAGCTGGTACTTGTCTCACACTTAGCCTGTATTTTTGGGGACCTGAGTGCCAAAATGAGCAGGTTTCTTTTCCTGTGAGCAGCAATTTGTCCAAGTGTCAGTGAGGAGCAGAAAGGCATTGTTAGTGATGCAGCAGAGCAGAAAAGCAGCAGTTGGAAATCCAAGAAGCAGCAATGAAAGCATTGTGGGATGTCCTGTGTTTGAAATGCTGCCTGGGCAGGCCCCACTGCTCTGCAGATGCATTTGCAGCACTGCTCTGGTGAGGATCAGTGCCAGCAGTGGAGCCTAAATTAAAATGCTTTTCACTTCCCTCAGTGGACATCACTTGCACATTACCTAAGAAGTCTCTAAGCCCTGACTCTCACATAGTTCACTGAACAACTCTCTAATTTATAGGATGATCTTTAACATCCCCTAGTTTGGTTGTTAGCAAAAATTAGCTTTAAGAAGGAATTGTGATTTATTAACATTGAGGCTTTTTAGATTTTTTTTTTTTGACAGAAATGAACAAGTCAGCACCAGTTCAAGTGTACAGACCTTTGGCTAATTCATAACCAGACGTGGCATGAAGGAACACATCTTTCTTGTGCTCTCATGGGCTTCAGAAGTGAATATTTGTCTTTTGACATTAGTCAGGACCTCTCTGTGCCACAAGAAACTCACTGTACCATGAGGAAGAAAATTCTTAATGCCAAGGGTTATACAACTTTGAAAATATTTTTTTTTTTTGTGACAAAGAAACAGATCTAAAGTAGAATCTGTTCCTTTTAAATATACATGGAAATTCTGTTTCCAAAATCGTCATACTGGGATTTTTCCACCCCTTTGCACCAGGATTGGCTCTGTTTGAGAGACTGTAAGAAACAGAACAACATTTTGAAAATGAAGCCATTCAAAACGAAGCCCTTTCAATATTAACTCTTCTTGCTGGTCTGAGACATGTTTTAGTAATCTGCAGGATATAAGGAGGAATAAGAATAAATGGCAAATATCAAGGCTTTCCTTTTTCAATCACAAAATTGGTATTCTTTCTTCTGCTGCTAAACTTGTCAGCGTTTAAAGTTTCACATTTTAAAATTTCATTATTTTGCAGAGTGTTGTGTGAATTTGGGGTCTGGCAACATTAGGCAGGTCCCAGACTTCACTTGATCATCAAGTGTAGATGAAACTGCTGTTGGAATGAAATCCCATTTCTGGTTCTGTGTTCTTTATTTGCATGTGCATTTCTTGGTTTGAAGGTCAGCTTTGCTGCACTTCTTTTCAACTTACAAGGCAATTTGTTCTTCATGCAAGTAATTTATTATACAAAGGCAGCAGGAAAGGTCACAATCACTTCTGTGTGTTGCTGGGAGAAACTAATTTGTGGGGCAAAATGAATTCTGTACATTGGAGAGTGCAGTGTGACTCTTTAATCTCAAACTTATCTGGAACTGTAAAATATTTGATTTGAAGGTATAAGATATTTGGGAACCCAAATATCCCATACAAACAATCTCATCTTCCTTTGTATTCAATCCACATCCTCCAGATTCAGTCTAGATCATGATAATCTGCCAATTCCAGCTTCACTTTTGCTCCAATCAGTAAAAAACTGCAGCACATCTTGAAGTTAAATCAATATCAGCTGAAAGCTGAGAATAATTTCTAAAACATCACAGAAGTAGCTGTCAGTCCTGGTGAGGAACAAATGGAGGCAGCATTAGCAGCTGCAGTAAGCACTAGCCATGCAGAGGACAGCAATTCTTAGTGATTTGCAAAACATCACAAATTGTGCCAGGGACTGGTGAGGTGATTGCAAAGAGGGGTAGGAAAAGGAGAATCTGTTGCAGTCCTCCAGGTGGGATTTGCTTAAAGCACTTAAATTCTCCCAATTCATCATTTTAAAATAAGTCATTTACTTACTTAAATAAATTTTACTGTGTGCTTGCAGAAAACATTATTACCAGTTTATTTGCTTAATGATGTGATGGGGTTTCTTGGACACTACATGAGAATGAATTGGTGATTAATCCTAAACAGATGCAGAGGATGAGAAGACAACTGTTGTGCATTTTCCCTGGCAGTGCTCCTGTCTGGCTGTCACTCAGCAGCTGAGATGCAGCTTTTCCTTCTTTCCTGAGGAACATTTAGAGCTGATAAATGTTAGGCAGAGAGTGGAAGCTGTCAGTGCATGAGATGAAAGATCTGTGGTGCCAAATAAACTGTTCTTGCTTCCCTTTAACCAGACAGAGGAGGTGCTTCACAGAATTCACAGAATTCACAGAATTCACAGAATCACTGGGCTGGAAGAGACCTTCAGGATCATCGAGTCCAACCCAGCCCCAACCCCTCAGCTAAACCCTGGCACCTTGTACAGCTACCCAGCTGATGCATATGGGAGCAGATTGATACCATATATATGAAGACATATTTATTAAAGAAAAAACTTAAAAGACATTCAGTATAGCCAAAAAAATTCTATTTAACTGGCTTAACACACTGAACCTTGTCTAGCTGTGAATTACTACTACTTCTAGTCAGAGATCAAACAAAAAAGCTTGAAAGTCACTTTAAGGCAAAGCTTTGGGTGAGCAGGTGAGGGACCAATAATAATAATGTACTTTAATGAAGTTGAAATATGGTTTAAAAGGGGAAAAAAGTCGTGACACAGGGGATTTGTATGGAATCCTTGAGGGCAGCACTGTTCACTGCAGCACTGGTGGGACAGGAGCACGTTGCCTTCATTTAGTTTTGCATCCAGAAAAGCAGGACAGTGGGACAGTGAGGTGGGAATGAGCTGTGCCCACAAATGGATCTGTTCTCTCCATGTCTGGCTTCACCCATTATTGAGCTGCAGGCACAGAAGGGATGAAATTGCTGTGAAAGATTCTGAATGCACTCTGAGGATTAGATGTGAGCTGCAGCTGAACATGAAAGGGACTCAGGGGTTAGTGGGGAAACCCAGCCCCATAAACCCAGTCCAGGTTTCTCCAGATCCCCCCTGGGTGCTGCTCAGGAGGATGCAAACAAAGGAAATTCTGGATCTTTGGTGTCCTTTTAGAAGAGAAACCCAGTGATGTGCCTGGTGCCCATTTGAGCTGAGGAGGTGGGGTGAGGGTTAGAATGGCTCATGTTGTTGTTGTGCAGACTTCAGGCAGGCTTCAGCTTTCAAACAAACTGTGATTTGAACAGTGAGGGAAAACCTGAGCAGGAAAACCTCACGCTGTTGAGGTGAGGGAGCTGTGCAGGTGAGAAATTTTGGCTTCCTTGGGAGAACTGGAGCAGTCCCACAGAGCCACATCAGTTCAGAGTTACCTGCTGGACCTCAAACATCAAACCTGTACACTCTCAGAAGAGTTTATTAATGGAGGAATGCAGAGGGCTCCATTCTGCTGTCTCACTGAGAGGGATGGCAGTGTGCTCTGCTGTCAGCATCAGTGTCACTGCATTTCCATCTCACCTGGTGCCACCTGAGGCCCGCAGTGTCCCCATGCAGGGTGGTGATGGTCAAGGCTTTGGGCAGGCACACCCCTGAGCACTTGTATCTATAAAAAAGAACTGCCAAGCCCATGCATGGATGGAGTGGCTCTTTCTAAGGAAAGTGAATTTGGGCATGGCTGATGGGTGACTTTGTGACCTGCCTGAGTGGGAGTGATCAGAGCAGGCACAGAAAGTGATAGCAAACACTTGGTGCAATGCTGACATCTGCCACAGCTGCTTGGAACCTGCTGAGGTTTTGTCACTGAAGGCTTATTGCCACCTCTGTGGTGCTTCCTCCTCCTTTGGTTCAAAATCAGAGCCAGGACTAGAAGGGGAGCAGGGAGGAAATCAGTTCACTTTGCTGACAATCACTAAAGTTGCACTTTTTTGGTTTTAATTGAGGCAGCTAAGAACTGGCTGCCATGTTCTTGGCTTTTATAAAGTAGCTTTGGTGGGATTTTGTGGCAGCAGCTCTCTGGCCACAGAGAGAAACACACAACGTTCCCAGGCATTGCCTGAGAAAGTCTATGAGAAGATCAGAAAAAAGAATGAGAAACAATTCTTAACTTGCTGCACCTGTTGTTGTGAACATGCGGAATGTGTTATGGAGATTTGTGTACCAAAGGGTGGTTTCTTAATTAGCTACTGGTGATTTGATTGGAGGACCAATCAAGTCTACCTGTGTCATAACTGTCTATAAAAATAATGTGTTTCTTAATTAAGATAGAGATTGATCAGAGCCTTCTGTGAATCAATGCTAATTATTACCCACTGTGATGATAGGATTGCATGTCCAGCTTTGTGGCACCAGGGGTTAATGTATATTTGGAAGGGTTAAAAGCTGTCAGAGTGCAGTGTGAGCTGCACAGTTTGTCTGTGATCTCCTCTGGGCTCCCAGCTCACTGGAGAGCAGCAGAGCAGTGGAGGGAGAGCTGCAGCTTTGGCAAATTCCACTGAAGGGTGAAATGTTTGTCTTTGCAGGCCGGGTGTCGTTCTTCACCTCGGGCTCGGAGAACCTGCACCGGGTGGAGAGGGTGCAGTGGGGCACTCGCTTTGCCATCACCATCTCCTTCAGCTGTGACCCCCAGCACGGCATCGGGGACCCCGGGGTGACAGGGCACCATCCCTGAGTGCCCTGCAGGCACAGACCCCAGGGTGACAGGGCACCATCCCTGAGTGCCCTGCAGGGACAGACCCCGGGGTGACAGAGCATCCCCTAAGTGCCCTGCAGGGACAGACCCCGGGGTGACAGGGCACCATCCCTGAGTGCCCTGCAGGGACAGACCCCGGGGTGACAGAGCATCCCGTGAGTGCCCTGCAGGGACAGACCCCGGGGTGACAGGCACCATCCCTGAGTGCCCTGCAGGGACAGACCCTGGGGTCACAGAGCATCCCTGAGTGCCCTGCAGGGACAGGCCCCAGGGTGACAGGGCACCATCCCTGAGTGCCCTGCACATCAGCTCTGCATGACAGCAACCTGCAAGAAGAGAGGAGAAAGCAGCTCTTGGAACCTCCCTTGCAATCAGAACTGCCCAGCTGTGGGAACAGCTGTCACACATTTTGATTTCACAGCTCCTTTTCCATAAATGTTGCAAATGGTGGCTCAAGGACCATTCTAAATTTGATGCATTCTGAAAATGGTTTGACTTCATATGCCATGGGGACAGGCTGCAAAGAAGAGAGAATGGGCTCCACAAAAAAAGAGGGAATGGGCTCCACAAAAAAAGAGGGAATGGGCTCCACAAAGAAGAGAGGCTGAACTCCACAAAGAAGAGAGAATGGGCTCTACAAACAAGAGAGGATGGACTCCACAAAGAAGCAAGAATGGGTTCCACAAACAAGAGGGAATGAGCTCCACAGAGAAGCAAGAATGGATTCCACAAAGAAGAGAAAGTGGGCTCTTCAATTTTTTAATATTTTTAAAAAATTCTTCAGTTTGAAAGATACAAACAATCTTTGGGCCATGCCTTGATGTGACTCCAGGCTGCTGTTACCTGTTCACTTCTTTGGTCTCCTCATTACTAATGTGGTGTGGAAAGTCTGATCTCAATGAATTGAGCCTCAGTTAATTAAAACCTGAGTTAATTGCATGTTACTGTCTAGAGCACACCTTCTGTTGAGAGGGATGGATTCTCTGAGTGTGGCATCAATGGGGAATACCCTGGGCCTTGAACTTTTTTGAAAATGTAATTACTACTGATTCATAATTCAGGAAGTCTCTCAGTAGCTATTTTTTGATTTCTCTTTTCCAGTTTAGCAGGAAGACTTTTTTTGTTAATGAGAATCCTGAATATTAAATTGCAGGTTCTTCCAAGAGGAGCTGTCTGCAAACACATGCATAATCCTGCCAAATACTTTAAAGTTTTTACTGCAGAGATTTCTCTGGGTCAGGAGGTTGATAAATAAACGGTAGAAAAACCTATTTTCTTTTCAATCAAACTCTGAAATAACCACATTGATCTGGTTTATTACCTGGATGTATAATTTCTGTGAAAAACTGAAAATCTGGGAATGTGCTTTGATTTTTTTTTTTAATTTTATGCATACGGTTTGGACTTTATAATGTAACCTTTTGTGGAAATAATAAATAGTGGGGGGAATTACAGTGAAGATCAATATCAAGAGGAATAAGAGGACACTTGGACTTGTGAGGGCTCTCACTGGGCACACCAGCAAGATTAGTCCTCTGTAATTTCATTTCTTTGTTCTGAAACTTAAAAATTCTTCCTTGTCTGTACTAACAAGGGAGAATTGTTAAATTGTCTGAATGCAAGGAAATATTAAAGTCACTTGGGTTTCATATTGAAATACTTGTCTTAAAGCCTGTTTTTTTCCAAGGAATTTGCATTACAACATGTTTTAAATCTGTGTGAAGGCAGACCAAGAACACCAGCAGCTTGATTCAAATGTAGATTTAAATGAGATTTAAATGTAGGGCAAAAGCCTAACATGAATGCCCTGTGTTTGCTGGTTTCTCCTGTGAGAGGCACTTGTGGAGCTGCCCTCTGTCAAATCCTGCTCAACAAAATCATCTCAGCCCATGGGGGAAATCTCAGCTCATCTCCTCTTGGATTTTCACCTTCTGAAGATCCTGTGTCCTGTAATAACTGCAGCCCCTGGTGCATCTCCTGCTGGGAGCTGATGGATGCTCAGAAATAAAATCCAGCTGGTTTTTGTCTTTCGGAGTTTTTAAGCCTCAGTAATCTGGTCATTATGATGACCAAACCTGTCAGCTGTGATTTGTTAGGAAATTGTGCACTGTGCATGGTAGGTGAGCTCTTCTCTGGAAAAAAGCCAAATATTTTGTATCTTTTAGTGCCGCTGAGATTCTTCTGTTTAGAGCTTCAATATCCAGACTGCTAAAAGCAATGCCCAAATCTAGGGAGAATTTAAATGGCAAATGAGGAAATAAAGTGCAATCTAAATGTTTCTGAAGGTGGCCTCCAGCAGGAAGCAGTAATTGCAGAATGTTCCTGGGGCACAGTGGAATTTGAATTCAATTCAAATTATTCAGCTTAATAAGAACAAACTTGGTCAAATTTATTTTAGGCCACTTAAATACCCTGAATAACTTTTTATTAAGAGTCTCTCCAGGTAATGGCATGTAACTCTGAACTTGAAATAAATTAATTTCTGTCCTTTTGGAGGCTCTGCTGCCTGTTGCTACTGGGAGCTGCAGGGCTGTGATTTTTAGAACTCTGACTGCTCCAAGGGCAGGATTTCTTCAAGAAATGAAGAAATATTCAAGTAGCATCAATCTGATGCCAAACTGCTGCAGAGAAGTGTTCTTAATTGAGCAGAGGAGATGTCAGAAGGTGGCTGGATGTGTCCCAGCTGGGTGAGGACTTTTCTGAAGAGTTAAAACAAAGTCAGAAAAGGTCAGAGCTTGTGCAGTGGGAATTGGGGCCCAGTCCTGGTGGTAAAATTACAGCTTTGCACCTGAAAGCAGACTTGGTACAAGTGTCTGGGAATGCTGGGTTGTGTTTGGGAAGGAAATGACTTGAAAGGAAAGGGAAAGGCTGCTGATGTGAAAAGTCCCAGAGTAAAATAGAAAATGCAGCAGGAGGGGAAGCCAGATTTGACTCCCTACAGTGAGACTGAGTGAAGCCTCCTGAGGACTTCTGGGAAGTTGTGCTACTTTAAAAACCACATTTCCATTCAAATGTTTTGTGGAATATCACGAGCTTTTGAAAAATTGTCAGGTTTTGTGGTCACATTAGGTTTTTAGTGTACACCTACCTTTCAATCCTGTGGGATGCATTCAGTTTTAATTTTTTCATCCCCTGTGATTTTAGGAACTCTGGGTGGACTTCTTGGCATTCCTCATGGATAACATTTTCATTCTGTAAACAGTTGTGGAATCATTATGGCTTTGAATTCCTTGTAAATCAACTGAAGGTTTAGGAAGATACCATTCCAATTTATGTTGGAATTTTCCTGAGTATGTATATATTGAAATATTCTGCACTCCATCTCAATTTCAAGTCCAGAAATGTTTACAAGGATACCCAATTTACAAAAAAAAAAAAAAAATTTAATTTGGATTTATAGCAAAAATTAAACTTCTTGTCTTATTTTTAAGGTCAGCAGCTGTGTGCTTTAGGAGGCTTAGCACCTAATAATGTGCACATTAAAATAAATCAGCTGAAAAGGCATTGATGATCACTGTGGTTTTTGGTTCTTCAGTTGCATTTCTTGGTATTGAATTGCTCCCACACAGCTCTCCTTCATCCAGTAAAATAAGATGATATTGTTTTTAATGTAAGAGTTCCTAGTGTTCCTTCTCCATCCAGATATCCTTGCACAGTGTTTGCAGGGGATTTGGTTCTCTCTAAGCTGCCCATAGAGAGCTCTGTGCAATATTTTTGTCTTTTCTAAAATCTAAATTCTAAAATGCTGCTGGAGGTCAGGGCTCTTTGAGTGGGGAGGAATAAATACAACCTATCTACCTGCTCCAAGTGAAAAAAAGTAAAATAAAAATAAATGCAATAAAAATTAAATTAAATATTTAAAAATTAAAATAAAATAAAATAAAATAAAATAAAATAAAATAAAATAAATCCCAGCTCCCTTTTTTGAGCGTCTTGTGGAAATCCAAGCACACATTGCAGGAGCAGCAGAAGAGTTATTTTCCTTCTGAACCCCAGGTGGCTCTGGCACACATGGATTGTCTCAGCCTGGAAATGGAGCTGAGGCATTATAATTTCATGTATATTAAATAATTATATATATAATATATAAAATATATATATAATAAGTAATTGTATTAATAGTATTTTTATTAACAAATAATTATTGTATTACATTAAATAGTATTTAATAGTATTAAATATGACTTCAACTATTAAATATTAATATTTATATTTAGTATTAATAAACACTAGTATTAAATATTACTATTGCTATTAAATGGTATTTCCATAAAATTTAATTAATATGAATTTAATTAATCTCAAATTCATCTTTAGTAGAATTATTTCTAACTCTTTTTTTTTGAGATTTTTCATTCCTCAGCATTAGTTTTTTTTCCCAAATACTCCTATTTTTCTTCTAGCAGAGGCATTGTCCGTGTTTAGCCCAATTATTTCAGAAACATTTCTTTCCATCTTGCCTGTTTTCCTGTAAAGCTGAAATAATGACAAGGTGAGCATTATTGATCATTCTTGTGTTTCCTGACACCTCCCGGACAATGAGGGAATTTTGGAGCAGAGACCAGAGAGAGTCAGACCATGGGACCACAAGAAATGCCTTTCTTGAATAATTCTCACTCTGGAATCAATAAAGCAGCCTGGAGGTACCATCTGCTTTGTTTTTGTAGTATTTAGATGCATCTAATTAAAAATATTTGAGTTTGCTGCTGAATAATCCTGAGGCTGTCCATGGAACCCATGGTGGGTGAATCCGTGAGCTGCCAGGTCAGACTGAGTGTTCAGAATGAGCTGCTCTGGAACCTTCCCTTTTCTGAAGGAAATATTCTGTTTATAGGGAGAAACTCAGATTTGTGGAGTGCTCATGTTCCTGGGAATTTCTTGGAACAGTCCTTCAGTGTCCAAAAAATCTCATTTTAGACATGGATACCCTTCCTATTCTTTAATTAACAAACCACAGCAGCCCCTCCACTTCCTAAAAAAAGCACAAATTGAGTTCCTGAGCCACGATTTTCCTGTTCAGACACCTTGAGGATTTATCTCTTTCTTGTTCCTCAGTTTATACAATTCATTTCAGCCGTTTATAAAGACGCCTGGACACTTTGCTGCTGACTCCACAGAAAGAAAATCTTGCTGTTTTCTTTTGAGAGAGCTTTTCCCTGCCAGGGGAAGGTCTCTGGGTGGATTCCTACCTTGGAGGTGACCTCCTTGCCAGCCAGACCATTAAACCTTGTGGGGATAAACAAAGGCAGCTCCTGATGGAGTCATCCTGCATGGCTTGGCTCAGCGTGGTGGTTTCTTCCATTCCCTCCAGCAGGGAATTGTGTTTATTGCTGATTTATGTTCCTGAAGAGCAGACGTGTTCTGGGAGTCCTCCCTGCATAATGGGCTTTTAATTGTGCTTCACTGAATCACCTTGTAAAAAGAAGGTTTTACCAGGTGATTCAAAACGTCAAAAGCTGCTCTGAAAGAAGACAAACCCTGAGCCCATTTAGTCCCCACACTTCTCAACACAATAGAAATGAGAGAAGTGATCTTGGATTGTTTCTACTTTGCTTTGGGCCATAAATGTGTGTCTCAAGTTGCTGGCAGCTGGGCACTGCTCCAGGAGGAATTCTCCAGGAGAATTCCTGAGAAATCCACAGAAATCCAGAGCCTTGTGCTGCTGCTGAGGCAGAGAAAGGAGATTTTTCCTGCTCATGGTCTGAAGGGATCAAGATCTCCATCAAAATGTGTGCCTAGAAAGGGAAAATGGGCAGGGGGAGGACTGGGTTTCCACCCAGGTACTGAGGAGCAGGTGCAGATTCCCTACAGCCCCACTAAAAAATTAATAAATCAATTATTTTTTAAATTTTTTTTCTGTTTTTTCTTACAGCTCCAAAACTTACAAATTTTCAGTAAAACCTCTGTTTATTTGTTTGTTTGTTTGGTTTTTGTTTCTTTTTGTCTCAAAGGGAAACTTTCTGTACACTTCTGTATATTTATTAATTCAGTTTTAATTTCTTCTTGGGTTATTTATTTACAGGTCTAAATTCTGTCCAGTTCCAGAAAAGGTGCAACAGACACAAGCTGTGTGTGGAGGACGCCATCACTTAAAAAATGCCCATTTGATAAATGCAGAAGAAAGAATAATCCATCTCTTTTTAAATATTTGGATGCAGCATTACTTATTTAGCATATTCACTGTTTATTATTAATTCAAACAGAGGATGGACAGGATAAATGGCTGAAACAAGTGGTTATCAAGAGGTGCTATTGGAAATTTTGTGAAAGGTTTGAACAGCAAGGGTTTTGCTGCCTGAAAGCTCTCAGTTTCCAGAAGTGATCTTGGATTATTTCTACTTTGCTACGGGCCATAAATGTGTGTTTTCTTGGTTTCTTTATATTAAAGGAAAATAGGAATTAATTTGAGAGTCATTCCTTTCCACAGGGATGAATATGATCAAAATAAACCTTGACTAGTAGGGAAAAAGCAATTTTACAGAAGCCAGCCAAGCAGGGGGGAAGGTAAATTTCAGATGATGTTAGCTACAGGAGATTTCTGCCACACTGACGTGGCTGTGTCACTTGGAACTGACATTTTCTCCTCCTCCTCACTCTGCTTTATTGTTCCATTAGATTAGACAGCTGGAAACCGAGAGCTTTCATGCAGCAAAACTCTTCCTGTTCAAACCTTTTACAAAAATTTTAATAGGACCACTTGTTTCAGCTATTTATCCTGTCCATCCTCTGTTTGAATTAATAATAAACAGTGAATATGCTAAAATAAGTTAAGTGATGCTGCATCATCTGCATATTTAAAAAATGATGGATTATGCTTTTCTTCTGCATTTATCAAATGGGCATTTTTAAAGTGATGTTGTCCTCCACACACAGCTTGTGTCTGTTGCACCTTTTCTGGAACTGGACAGAATTTAGAGCTGTAAATAAGAAATAATCCAAGAAGAAATTAAAACTAAATTAATAAATATACAGAAGTGTACAGAAAGTTTCCCTTTGGGACAAAAAGAAAAGGGTTTGAAAATGTGTGGGTTTTGGAGCTGTAAGAAAAAAACAGAAAATAAAGAAATGATTTATTAATTTTTTAGTGGGGCTGTAGGGAATCTGCACCTGCTCCTCAGTACCTGGATGGAAACCCAGTCCTACCCCTGCCCATTTTCCCTTCTAGGCACACATTTTGATGGAGATCTTGATCCTTTCAGACCATGAGCAGGAAAAATCTCCTGTCTCTGCCTCAGCAGCAGCACAAGGCTCTGGATTTCTGTGGATTTCTCAGGAATTCTGTGCCCTCCTGGAGCAGTGCCCAGCTGCCAGTAACTTGTGACCTCTTGTCTTTGTTTTTTTAATGCCTTTAGCACCTCCAGATGGGTGTGAGTCAGTGAATTCCAGTGCTGCAAAAATTATCACCTTCAATGCAAGTTAAACACGTTTTGACTCTGTTGCTAATTTTTCTATTTAAGGCTTTGGAGCAGACTGCTAAAACTTGTCCTCTTCCT